CTTTTCTTCTAGGTGAGCAAGTACTTGCAGGAAATTTTTTCACCCTATTTTCCAACCTTATTGCAAGTTTTGACACAGCATCAAAATCTGTATAACACAAGAAGACACTGCAGTCGTTCTGCTTAGATATGATTGCATTTCTGAAGAATGTAACATGATATACAGATAAATAAACAAAAAAAACCCCAGGCTTTCCAGAGCTAAGAAATCCTTTCCCAGTGAGAGCTTGATTTCCTTGTACCTTTCAGCCAGAAAAGCTAGTCCCCAGTCCTACAAGGCTAGTGCCATGCTCTCTTCTGTGGTACACCCTGATGCCAAGTTCCTACAGGGATGAAACTCTTCCCAGATAAAAGACCCAAAAGGGCTCTGAGATTTGCAGTGAACTTTACAAAGCCACCTCCCATCTGTCTGTCCTCTGAAAGGGAGGCTCCTTAAAGACTGTGGACCATGGCTTCAGGTCACTCACCAGCAAATGAGCACACTTAGCACCAACAAAAAATGGATTTATACAGATTAGCCATTAGATGACTACGAATCCGAGGAAAAAATAGGTCATGTCTTTGTTATAAAGTTTGCAAAGAAAAAGAGGGAATTTAGCCAACAGAAACCTTTTCATTTGCATGGACATCTATGCTTTCCAAAGCTAATCAGTTATACTGGTGGACATGGGCATCATGGACATGATGGAGTCTTGTACTGTACTACTATCTTTTTTCTGTATTTTTTTTTAAATGCTTATGTAGATGTATATAAATTACATTCTAATAACATAATGTTTAGGTAATTGTTTTGGTTTACTGCAATACTGCCATACTGACAGATAGACTTTGAAAAAACAAAAGCATTTACTGTTCCTAGAAACCATCACGTTATGAATTTACAAGGAAGCATGTCTTTTTGTTAAGAAGGTAGAACGTCCATCATCCTCTATTAGTACAAAGTGGAATAACTCCACTGAAGTCAGTTATTTGCTACAATACCCTGTTTTCATTAAAAGTAGAGGTGTGTTATGAAAGACATAACTATATATTCATTGCTTGTTAACCTTAACTAATACTAAAGCTCCTAGATGTCCATCTCACATTTTCCAGTGGCTCCTAATTTCTGTGCTTCAGACAAGCATAAATGCATCATTCTGTAGTAGAAAATGAAAGAGTTGCTGTTTTACAGAGCACTACATGAGAATCTTATCAAGCCTTTGAACCTTCCAGGACCTGGGAGAAGGAAGTTGGATTGGACTTCTGTTCCAAATAGACTGCAGTTTGTAACAAGCCACCTCATATCAAATTATTGCTCTTCTGACATTATTATATTTTGGGCTGTGTTTGTTTTTACTTTGTATTGCCCATATGGAGTGCAGTTTCTCTGTAACCTAATCCTTAAGACATCATTTCTAAGAAAGGATCGTCCTTCATGTAAGAGATATGCAGGTTTATCAGGGTTGTTGAGAAGCAGACTTGAGATTCTGCAGGCTGGCACTTAGAATTCACTAAATGGTAAAAAAGCATGGTTTTATGATCTTAAAAAACTGTAGAAAGACAGGCCTTAAACTATGTGATTGTATTGGGGCAATCTACAAGTATTAGCTGAATATCTGTCCCCTAATTGTTCAGAGAGATGTGCTAGGTTATTAAATTGACAATCATAAGTGAAAAATGTCCTGGGGCTCACACTGGTGTTTGTAGGAGGCCTCTGCCCCTGAAAGATGTTTTTGAAATTTCCATGTGCCATTCCAGGATGTGTGTCATGGCCTCTTCTGAGAAGAATGAAGTCACTTGGCCTTTGGCCTCATGACTTCCAGCACACTCCAGGAAAGGAGTTTCTCACCAGGAGCCATAGCTACAATGTCTTCTTCTTCAATCACCCTCCTAGCTGTGCCAGACTATATTAACCCTTACTAAGCACATATGCTGCCACTCTCCTTTGGATGCCTATGCAAGGGAAATCTTTGGAAAGGATTATTTCAGTATCTTTTCTAACAGGGAATTGCAGCAGAAGTGATTTCAGTCTCTCCAATAAATACTTCATGCACAGAATCTGATTTATTCTTTTGCCTTTCAACATCTTTTCTCTAACACAGAAAGTTTTAAAATGGTATAAAAATCAACTAAATACAAAGTCCCTACAGTCAAATCAGATGTAATCCTCTCATATTCCTTCTCTCCTATGACTTCTGTCAACAGTTTGCTCTTCAGTGCAGGATGATGGTGCTGGAATGTGACTGTGACACCACAACCACTGACAGTCTGATCGGACCAAAGCTGTTACTGTCACGAGCAGGGTAGATCTGGGCTCAGCAGGGATATGCATTTAACCCCCTTGAGCCCTGTGCCAGATGGGAAGGTAAAATAAGTCTTTCAGATCACCCTAGGGTCCTTCCAGCAAGCACTCACATTTCTCTGTATATGACAATCACTATATCTGGCAAGAAGCCATGTATTTAAACAAATATTTCTAACTAGACCCTTGACTCTTACCACTATATTAAAGGTCTAAAGGTATTAGATTTGTGAATGTGTTCAGACAACCTGGTATTTTTTTCATACTCCTAAACATTTTTGACAGTGTCTTTCATGATCTCTAGTCCAAACGTTTTTCCCAACAGCCTAACATCCAGAAAGCAGAAGTCCCAGGTGTCATCTTTTGCCATTTTCTCTGCTAAACCATGTGGAAGATCAGAGAGAATTTATTTTCTAAGAATTTGAAAAACTAGATAATAGAAAACCAGAAATACCGGTTAATGGGCATCCCCACGTAACCCAGGACTTCTTTGTTATTCCACTTTTGCTAATTAGTGTGAAAAATTACCACTGTAAAACAATGCATTTGTATGTAGCTTTACTGGAACAGGCTCCCCAGGGAAGTGGTCACAGCACTAAGCCTGAGAGAGGCACATCTTGGGGATGGCCTTGTGCAGGGCCAGGAGTTGGACTCACTCATCCTTGTGGGTCGCTTCCAACTCGACATATGCTGTGATTTTGTGATTCTGTGGAGTGGCACTGATGTAAATGCAGAACAACTATATTGAATTGAATTTTCTCCTGATTTTCAACAGTGCGAAAACATGATTGGCCCATCTTTTTTATCAGAGCCCTTACCTTTCATCTGGAAATCAGCCACTGCTCCAGATGAAATGACATTTGACTAATGACAGGAAACCAGTATCAGAAAACCAGCTTATAATGTACCACATACAATACACACAGCAGTCAGTCAAGACTTAGGGATTATGGCAACCTTTTACCAGGGGAGGAAATGGAGAAAGAATAATAAATTTTTCACAATAGGTCTAACTAAGAAAATGATTAGTTGCAAGAAGGTATTTTAAAACACTTTACTGAGAGTGTATGCTCATTTCATCTGCTGCTGCTGTTCATCCCTGTCCTGAATTTTTGGGATAAGGAGTTTTCTGGCCCATAGGTCTTGGCTGAGAATGGCCCTCTCTCTCTCTTCTCACAAACCACACCAAAAGACCATGAGCTGTAGCACAACTATCTTAGACACTTTTCTTCTTAAAACACTTTTTTCAAAGTAAATGCAATCGACAGTCATAAAGTAACACCCCTCATTTGCAGCTGTAGCTGAACAGTGTTATTTTACATATTGGATCCTGGAACCAAGTATTTGGTGGGAGAGGACCAGACCCTCCTGGGCACTGCAGCCATGCTGGACTGCACTGAGCCATAAACCAGCCTGGCCACTCCAAAGTTCGTATTAAGCAATACTGGAAACTGGTCAGTGCGTTATTCTGAACCTGTTGCTGTGGCAGTCACAAGAATACTGCTGGAGAAAAGAACATCTAGCAGAAAAGCTGGAAGCCATGATATAAGACATCTTCATTCCTTCTCTATGAATATGGTTTTTCAGCTGCTTTAGGCTTTTCTTGAACTCCCTGATAAGGCAATGCTGTTGAGAACAGCATTTTCCTTGATCCTAAGAGTTTCACTGGGAAGCAATCACTTGATCCACCTCTACCCATTAGAGCTAAAGTGAACTGCTCATGTACCTCCAGCTTAGGGTCTGGCTCCACAGATGGTGATTCCAGAGCTTGCTTTCTTAAATCTCCATTCCTGGCCTCAGTCTCTGCCTCACAGAGCATTTGACTGAGTTCAAGTACATTAAGATGGTATCGCACAAACTTCCCTCTGCATGGTGTGCACACGACAAAGACCCAGCAGGGGAAGGCAAAGGGGAGATGGCTGTGCCATGCCTTACAGGCTTTGTAGATAAAAAGTATTAACTCCAGCACGGAAAGGGGAAGAATTTTTTGTATGTCATTCTGTGGTTGTAAAACAAGATATTATTTGAATTCTTTGGCAGGTCCTTCAAGCCTGATTGGAGAAAGGCAGACACTGGGCCTCTTGGAGGGAGTTCTGTGTTATTCTGGTACTCCCCAAAGTAACCCTGAGTTGAAGAAGGGTGGACCAGCCAGCTGGCTTCTGGTTGACACCAGAAGAGTAATGAGGGAGAGAGGGACAATAAACTGAATGCAGGCTACACACAACACATCAGAGACATGAAGCAGAAGGACCAGAGAGAGCTGTGTGAATGCCTGCTCTCTGAAGGACTTTAAATACTGCCATGATCCCCATTGGATTTTTGGTTCACGACCTGAAGCTACCAAAAGTTTTTCAATTTACATAATGCAAGATTTGCAGAGCATTCAGCAAGGCATCCCAGGGCCCACCCTACAGTTTCTGTATAGATATGACATAAGTGCAGCTCTTCAATGTAGTCTTATGCTGGTAAGTTTGTCCAATCAAGGTAGGTTATCACAATATTAATGTTTTAACCAATGTGATATGTTTCTGGGAAGGTAGAAAGCTGATTTGAGTAGATGATTGAAGAAATAAGCCTACTTAGGATACAGTTTTTGCAATAGGAATTGAAGAAATAAACATAATGTGATACCAGAACCAAGACAAAAGGAGTACATAACAATGCCAAAATTATAAAAAGAGAGGAGAAAGACAGGCCTTGACTTCAGTTGAGTTGGTAAATGGAAAAGAGTGCCATGGATCTTGTTTACTGTTCCATCAATCCATTAGATATTTCTGTAGTGCTGTTTGTTTCTTTAATTTGACATTGCCACTTGTATGTCTTGTGAAGTACCATTTGAATACCAGGGCAACTGAGATTTTGGCACACACTGTTGACAGCTGTTTTGGAACTACAAATATGATGTGTGCTACATCTGGTGAATCTGGAGTGGAAAAATACAGTGGAAAAGCACAATTTCTCACTTGGAGCTGCTGTGGAGGGTTTACAATGTCTAAGTCCCTTATTCAGTAAAAGGACTGTTTAATGACCTACCCATAGAGGTAGTCTTTTATAATCAGTACAAAGATTGATTTGAGTATTTCTGCAAAGCTGCTCCATTCTTTCTAGCTAGGAGAACTGACATAGAACATGAAAGAGAGATGCTTTAGTGTGTGACTAAATAAGATCAGTGAATCAATAAATGATCTAAAAATATTTTGTCATTAATTTTCATGACACAGCTATGACTATGCCAAGCAAGGCATCATGTGTACTCAAGCCTAATAAAGTCTCATACCTATGACTCAGTGGCAGAAGTAGCATAATAATCAAGGGATTTTCTGGTGTCAGCCTAACATTGTAGACACTACCAAGTAAAAGAGAGTGAAACCAAAAATAATGTACTTTAAAAAGTTAGCAGCATAACAGCCAGGTGAGCAGTGTTATCTCTGGCAGCTCCAGAACTGACTGTTCTTCAAAGTGAATTTTGGTGTGTGTATATGTGGGTGATCAAGATGCCTGCACTGATCTGCTCTTCTCCTAGTCCTGTTATTTTATGAAGAGAAAAGTTATCCCTAGACAGCAGGACTAAACTAGCAACAGAAGAGACTGGCATGCTCTCTACAAAAGGATATATGTCCTTTTTCCTTTCCTTAAACAGAGGTGGAGGTATCAGACTGTGGAATAGGAGTGTCAGACATAGTGATGGTACTCTGGGTCCCTGAACTGGTGGGTGACCATTCAAATATGGGAACTTCAGTATAGGTGGGTACTTGGCACTCAGAAGACAGTGCCCTCAGTACTTATAGAAATCTAATAGGGAGCTGGAGAAATCACAAGGTTGTCTGTTAATTCAGACACAAATTTTCCTTTTAAATTATGTTTTAGGTGGCAAGTTTTTCTCAAGACTTAATGTACAGGATCATGAGAGCAACTGATAAAGCTAAAAATAAGGATTTTTTTTTTCAATTAAAAATGGACACAGTGATATTTTAAATGTCAAAGAAATTATAATTCAGGCTTTCATAGGGAGCCCCTGGTGGTCAAGTGGTTAAGGATGCGGCGCTGTCACTGCCAAGGCCCAGGTTCGATTCCCCGTCAGGGCCCCTCTCCGGGCAGATGGAGCTCGTTAGCCCTGTAAGGCAATCCATCTACGTCCTGAGGACCTCGCTGCCACCGTCCAAGCTTGCTTGGCCCCGGTAGATGAACCTCAGGATTAAAGGGTGGGCTCAGTTCCGCGCACACTGTGTCTCACCTAAAAAATCCAATGCGAAGGCTGGAAGGTGTAAAGACCTTCCCCGGTTCTTCGTTCGCAAAGACTGGCCATTACATTACATTACATACTATGCTGAAGCTAACAGTTTTCCATTACTCCCTGAATAATATGTAATAATGACTTAGTGAAGAAAATAAAAAAAAATTAAATATTCATATTGAACCACAGAAGTTGTGGAAACCACATAACATCTGAGTGCCGAGTAAAACCCTAGACCACCCAACCATTGTTTGACCATTGATTCTGCAAGTAAAACTTCACTAGCTCCTCAAGTTTGAAATACTACACAGTCTCTCAAACCTATTCTGGATGGGGAAAAACAGAAAATTAACATTTCTTAGAGGTAAATTTTAATTTAAACTTTCTCTGATATTAAGGTGAATAAGAAGGAAGGTTTCTTAAATATAAGAGAACAATCAGGAATATACAGTTCTCTCATTTAACAAAAAATAACTTTTTTATGATCAAGTTTTCTTAAAAGAAAGTTTGTTATGAAGTGTATATTCAACTTTACATTGACATACAGTAAAATTAAACACAAGTACATCTTAAAAATTAGAAGAAAACAAGACAGGGAACATACACCTTTTGATTGCCATTTCAGGGTAGTATAGGCAATGTTCAGGAGTTCTCCAATGTGAGATTTAATTTGGTTTTGTTTAACTTATTCTGTACTATCACAAAATGTGCCATAGAGTCTTTGGCTCTGATTTTGCAACAGCATCTGCCTGAGTAGGTCCTTATGAAGTCCCCTTCCTGAATGAGTGCTTAGATATTGTAAATCTATCCCAGTCATCCCTAAAGAGAAACTGGACTTTTTGCCTGTCTGCGCTCAAACCTCAGCACCTCCAGATGTAGCACGCATCTCAGCCTTCACTTCAAAACAGCTGTCCAGAACGTGTGCCAGACTTTCAACTGTCATGCCATACAGGCAGGATCCCACACGACATACAAATGGCAAAGTAGAATTAAGTAATGGTACATGATACCAGAAGAAAAATGCAATAGAGTTACAAAATGGTAGTGGTCATGCTCACTGACTTTACAAAAGTCAAAATTTGTCTGCTGAAGTCAGTTTCATACCAGAGTTCTAAAAATCATGAGTTTAAGATGTGGCTGCATTTGTTGAGAGAATACCTGCCTAACGTATTTTTAAGAAAGGTGTCTTAAAATTTATCTGGACAAAATACCCCTTCCATTTAATTTAGCTGTTATTTACTGTTCCTGTAAAGCTCTTCTGTTCATGACTGATGAAGCATAGCGTGTAACTTGCAGCCTCCGCACTATGGCCTAGAAAAACCCTCTGAAACTGCCTTTATGTAAAATTTATAATGATTTCATTAATTACTAACACTCTTCCTCAATATAAGTAGAATTTTAGTTAGTAGCATATTTGACGAGGCAGATTAAGCTGACAACTTTCATTAGTCAGACATACAACCATTGTAAAAATCTTCCAAACCAAAAGGTTAGGCTTGAGAAATGAGACACTGGTGTTGGCCGGTTCAGAGATATTTTTTCAACTTTATACAACAGTTCATCTGTGCCATTATAAATGGCAGAGAAAGTAATACACTGAAATAGATACTGATGGCCTGATACTGAAAGAGACCAAAAAATAAGGAAAATTTAGATGGTCCTGATTAAGCAGTTTTATTTGTGGAATGCTGTGACCAGAAACAAACCAGTTGAACTGAAACTCGGGTAAATACTTTTGCACTAGATTTTGAAATAAACATCATCATCAAAATGGGTGTGCAAAAAATATATTGTGAGAATTATTTCATCAAATATCTATATGACAAAGCATTTCATTTTGTGTAAAGGTACTGTATGTTATTAGTTATAAAGTATCAAATGAGGAAAAGCCCTCTTAGAGGTTCTCTAGACATTCTAGACATTGCTTTTATGCAAGATCAAGTCAGGTGAGGTAATCTAATATAATAGTCCCTTGTGACAAAAACATTTAGAAATCTATGAAGAAGTTTTAATAAAATATAAACCCAAAGATGATCTGGTATTTCTAAGTCTTCTGAGCTCTAACATTTCCCCACACCTCACCTCCCCACCTCCCAATTTTGTGTTTATTTCAAAGTAATCAAAGTTTTTATTTCAGATTTTCTTGCATATTTAAGGACATTGGTGACACTGGTTGTCCACTTTCCTGTTGTTATTCTATAATTCAGTAGCCTACTATCCACAATTTCCACCGTGGCAGTGGTCTAAGTAGTTAAGCTTCTCATACACTATTTGCAAATTTAAATAGAATGTTTAAAATTAAGTATTGGACCATCCAAATCCATCAACTTGTTATTTTAAATGAATACTATATAGATTTTTCCCTAACCCCTCATTTTACAACTTGCATGTTATCTTAAAAACTCATCCCTTGTCCTTATAGCAGCCTTCCAGTACCTGAAGGGAGCCTACAGCAGAAATGAAGAGGGGCTTTTTTCAAGGACATGTAGTGACAGGACAAGGGGGAATGGCTTTAGGCTGAAAGAGAGTAGGCTTACATTAGGTAGTAAGAAGAAATTCTTTACTGTGAGGTTGGTGAGGCACTGGAACGGGTTGCCCAGAGAAGTTGTGGATGTTCCACCCATGGAATCACTCAAGACCAGACTGGATGGGGCTTTGAGTGGTCAAAGTTGTCTCTGCCCTTGGCAAGGAGGTTGGAACGAGGTGATCTTTGAGATCCCTTCCAACCCAAACCATTCTGTGATTCTATGAAATTAGAATCCCATTAACTCCTGATGGACATAATGCCTTGACAGGGTAGCTCTAATCAGCGAGATACTTTGATTATTAAAGTATTTTAGGTATGTCTTGCTAACACTAAATTTAGACACTACCACTCATTCTATAATTTGCTCCCTATTAATGTAGCCTATCCTTTTTTTCCTGCCAAACAGCACTCACCTACTTTCCAAATGAGAACCTTAAATGTCCTAATTAACTACTATTTCTTGATCATCACTTCAGAAATATTTCACTCTTTCAATATTTCAGTTTTATTGAGCATCACTCATGTTGATCAAGGAATTATGAGCAGGTCTTCATAACACAACAGTAATTTTTTACTATAGACCACTTAAAACTAAAAATGTAGTTCAGTTGCAGAGTAGATTTGCTTTTTTTCTGGTTTTGAAAGATTGTAGTGACTATGTAAAGCTAATACAAAGTTGGGGATTTGTTTGTGTTTTTTAATTAATTCACAGAATATTCTGCAATAATAAGAAAATGTGTATGTTCAGAGGCTATTAATGAACATCAGTTTAAGAATCTACATAAAGGGATGGACTAAACTAGTTTTCCTTTGCTTTGTATCCCCTTAACACCAATGGAAAGCGCTCAAAGACAATTGTACTTGATTTTTGCATACCAGTTTCACAGACACAAAGAATTATTTTAAAGTGAGCTGCCAAACCTGGGTTTGGTGCCAGACTGAGCACTCTTAGTTTATCACCAGCTGACCCACTGCTATAATTCTAATACTCACTTTCTTGCTATACTCTCATATTTCCTTACAAATAAGATTCCACCGTCACGGCAACATATCCCCCTTTTCCAGGGGTTAAAACATGACTGGAAAAGTCTGTAGCCTACAAAACTACTGCTAATATTCACCTGAGTTTCTACCTGTGCTTATAATCTCCATAAGGCATTGGAATCATTAAATGTTATGGGTATCTGTATCTAAACTTACAATATTCACTGTAGCCTGACACTATCCCAATTGGTTTCCAGCAGAATTCATGCCAGTGGGCACAGTCTGGATCTGATTTGGAGGATGCGATGGAAATAGGGATCATTAAAAACACCCCATTATCATATGGTCTGGTAGTTGGCTACAGTGCTGTTCTACAAACATGATTTAGTACAGATGTTTCATTTAAACTCTAGGTTTATAAAGGTACACATTTTTTTGGTTTACTCTGATTATAACCACAGTCTACTCCTCCCCGGTAATCAACTGCTAGAATTTGTCAAATGTTGTCATTTAATATGTGGGTCACTTCCAGTGCTGTGTTTGTTGCATGGAACGCTCCCCTTCCATAGAAACAGATGTTTTAACTTAACAGCAGAAAGAGCTAAACAAGTGCATGTGAAGGCGCAGTGCGAATAATGTGTTTCATTTCTGTTATTTATAGCTGTCCGCAGCTATCATAATTTTTTTATTTGAAAATTATTAAATCAATTACAAGAAGTTTATTTGCAGATACTGCCAAGAATGATGCACGCTAGGCAACTGCTTCTGGGGAAAATTGTCTTCTTCTGGGCCATTGCAGAGGCATTTCAGTAAAGTCAATCCATTTCTGAAAGACTACAGTATAACAGGGTCTGTACACTAGGCCTCAGATTATACACAGAAAAAAAAAAATACCCTCTTTAGATCTCCCAGACCTTCTGGCAGATATGTCAGGTGTTAGGGCAGTGGAGTTAGTACGTACTTAACTCCTCAGCATATTTGAAGAGGGCAAGACCAGCTGAAATCGTGGTTAGCAGGAAGACTCAGAGGAGAGGGCTCTGGCTGGAAAGACGCTGAGCTGAGAGGATGGGTTTCTTCCTTCTTTCAGTTTTATTTGACTGAATACATCCCACCCAAACTGAGAATTATGTTTATATGAAAAACTAGTAGCAGTCTTATCTAAAATGCAAGGGGGAAATATTTTTTTGAAACACAGAACTATTTCCACATACCACAATGAAGAAACAAATCAGCCATCTGTGAAATTCTTTGCTCT